ACACACACACACACACACACACATACACACTACGCACTCACACACACACTACGCACTCACGCAAACACAAACAAATACACTAACAAACAAACACACAAACAACATACACACCCATAAAAACACACAAACAAACACACAGAAACACACACATTTCGTCCTACGTGCTCTGCGCTCAGATACACTGGCCACTCCTGCAGCACCCAGATGTAGGCGGGCCCGGCGAGGGCCAACATAGTGGTCAGTGCCAACAGCTGACTCAGGATAGGCTCACAGGTCAGGCGACGTAAGAACCGGGACTGGTTCATGGTCAACAGACAAACAAAACACAATATAAAAATTGTTTGGTAAGAGTTTTACGGCACTTTGCAACGCTATAAGGTCATATGAGTGCCGACGATTAGAGGTATCACAAGAGAGTAGCAAAAACAAAATATGGTTGAAGATATATACAGACAAACACAACATAGATGAAGATATAAACAAGACAAACAAAACATAGATTAAGGTCAACATAAAAACAAAACATAGATAATGGACAACAGACAAATAAAACATGATTTTAAAAACATTGCGTAATAGTTTTACAGCACTTGCAACACTATAAGGTCATATAAGTGTCGAAGATTAGGGGTATCACAAGAGAATAACAAAAACAAAACATAGATGAAGATATATACAGAAAACACAACATAGATGAAGATACGTACAGACAAACACAATATAGATGAAGATATATACAGACAAACACAACATAGATGAAGGTATGTACAGGCAAACACAACATAGATGAAGATATATACAGACAAACAAAACATTGATGAAGATATATACAGAAAAACAAAACATAGATGAAGATATATACAGAAAAACAAAACATGGGTGGAGATATATAAAGACAAACAAAACATAGATAAAGATACACGTATATACAGACAATCAAAACAAAGATGAAGGTATATACAGACAAACACAACATAGATAATGGTCAACAGATAAATCACAACCATAGAATTATATAAAAATGTTCTAGCTGACAGCTCTGGAAGTTTTGAGTTACAAAGACCATGAGGTCTAAGAAACCAACATAATACGTTCATTTTGCTCTATCAAGGTCGTAAGATTATTTGGAGTCGTTATCAAGATATTTAAAGAAAATGCATTCGAAAAAGCTTGACAACTTGTAAAACTGAACATTTTGAACGTCAAATTTCTCAGACCTAGGTACTGAGCAGATTCAACTTTGTAATTTCAGGGTGATGAAATAAAGCTGGATGAAGTTATCAATTTGACAAAAAATGACCTAGATCGACATATTACACCAACACGCCT